GGATATCAACTTTTTTTTTTTTTTTGAGATGGAGTCTTGCTCTGTCGCCCAGGCTGGAGTGCAGTGGTGAGATCTTGGCCCACTGCAGTCTCCATCTCCCGGGTTCAAGCAATTCTCTTGTCTCAGCCTCCCAAGTAGCTGGGATTACAAGCTCCCGCCACCACACCCCGCTAATTTTTGTATTTTTGGTAGAGACGGGATTTCCCAATGCTGGCCAGGCTGGTTTTGAACTCCTGACCTCAAGCGATCCACCCACCTTAGCCTCCCAAAGTGCTGGGATCACAGGCATGAACCACCAGGCCCAGCTATCAGATTTTTGAATTTGGATGCACAACTGTTAAGTATAATGCAAATATTCCAAAATCCAAAACACTTTTGGTCCCAAGCATTTTGAGTAAGTGATACTCAACCTGTACTGTAACCTTATCAGACCACCTTCAAAGATACAGTCCATTGTTGGCTGAACACTGTTACGCAGTACATGACTATATTAGATAAAAGAGCAAAACCACCAGGCATGGTGGCATCTCCAATCCCAGCTACTCAAGAGGCTGAGGCAGGAGGATCGCTTGAGTGCAGGCATGTGAATCTGCACTGAGCTCTGGCTGCACCTGCACCACTGCACTCCAGCCTGGGCAACAGGGTGGGACACTGTCTCTAGAAAATAAAAGTAGGCTGGGCATGGTGGCTCACACTCACAATCCCAGCATTGTGGGAGGCCAAGGCAGGTGGATAGCTTGAACCCAGGCGTTTGAGACCAGCCTGTGGAACACAGTGAGACACCATCTCAACAAAATAAAAATACAAAAAATTAGCTGGGTGTGGTGTTGCATGCCTGTAGTCCCAGCCACTCGGGAGGCTCAGCTGGGAGAATCACCTGAGTCCCAAAGGTGGAGGCTGCAATGACAGTCACTGCATTCCAGCCTGGGTGTCCAAGTGAGACCCGGTCTTGAAAATTAAAGTAAAATTTTTCTTTATTAAAAGAGTAAATCCAACTACATGCTGTCTACAAGAAAACCACTTTAAATTTAAAGACAGAGACAGACTAAAAGAAAGAGGGCAGAAAATGATGTACCATGCAAACATTAATCAAAAGAAAGCTGAGTAGCGATGTTAATTGTCAGACAGCACAGCCTTTGAAACAAAACAAGTAGTTTCTGTTTTTTTTTGTTTTTGTGACAGGGTCTCCGTCTGTCGCCCAGGTTGGAGAACAGTGGCACGACTGAGGCTCAGTGCAGCTGTCGCCTCCCAGGCTCAAGCAATTCTCCTGCCTCAGCCTCCCAAGTAGCAGGGACTATAGGCGCCACTACCACAAGTGGCTAATTTTTCTATTTTCAGTAGAGATGCTGTTTCCCCATGTTGGCCACAATGGTCTCAAACTCCTGAGCTCAAGCGATTGGCCCGCTTCGGCCTCCCCAACTGCTGACATGACAGGCATAAGCCACCGTGCCTGGCCTGAGACGTGTCTCTCTATAAAACCATTCCAGTGAACAATGAATAATAAATGATAAAATCAGCACCATTTTGAAACCTCCAATGAATAAACAACAAATGCAGGTGTTAAGCATCAGCTGCTGCCAACGTCAGAGAAAGTGAGACAGCCAGGCAGCATGGCTCTTCATTTTGAGCTAAACCCACCCCACACTCCATCTTACAAAGGGGCCAAACTTGTAAGACTGTTTAATTTTTTTTAAGAGATGGGGTTTCGTCATGTTGCCCAGGCTGGTCTTGAACTCCTGGGCTCAAGCAATCCTTCTGCCTCAACCTCCCATTTTACAGACATGAGTCACTGCACCCGGCTTTGGCAGGTTTTGCAAGAAACACAGAGGAACCTGCTGAATTGCAGCCTATGTGTGGGATTCACAGAAACCAAATGATGGGAGCCTCGAAGCTTCCAACGGCCTGGGTTGTTCAACAGATAATATTGCAAGAAAAAAAAGGGGAACAATACAGAAATTGAAGGACAGATGGGCAGTGGTGCTGCAGGTGAAGCTACAAACCGAAAGGGTGAACCTGCCCCCAGAAGTGGGCGCTGTGGGAATCGGGACAGAGGCCGCTGGGCGGGGCTGCCGGGGAAGAACCCTAGCAGGGGCAGGCCGGGGGAGGGGTGGAGGGGGAAGGGGTAGAGGGGGAAGGGGTAGAGGGGGAAGGGGTAGAGGGGGGAAGGGGGAGGGGCGGAGGGGGGCGGGGGGGCCAGGGTCAGACTCCCTTCTCCACCTTGGCAGTGTTTACCAGAGCTCAGCTGAAGTAGGTTTGTTCAGCCCAATGTGTGTTTTGTATGGTCTTCAGGATCTACGCTTAATTTAATTTAATTTAATTATTTTGAGTTTTCTATCCAAAAAATAAGTCAGAGCCCAAGGGATCTGTTTAATTTTAAACCAAAAAAAAAAAGCTTACTGCACACTGAATACAGGGAAGACCATGAGTTCTTAAGAACGCTAAGGGAGAAAGGGAGGTGGAGAGGGGCAGAGAGAAGCAAAATCAAGCCCTCTGGATACCACCAGAGGCTGTGAGAGTGCCCATTCATTACTCTGCAAAGACGAGGAGCTATTGATTCTGCCAATCCTGGCTGAAGCTTGTTTCAGACATACCAACCAGCCCTAGCAGATGTGGGGAAGTTCTTCCGTACCAAAGAATTCCAGCCTGCACTTGCAGGAGGAATGACAGAACAGCAAAATCACCATTTTGCAACTTGGAATGAAACAATGGATGCAGGCAGTGGTCACCAAGGACGGTGCAGCCTTCCAGCGGACAGGCAGCCGCCTCAGACACCCAGAGCCTTCTCAGCACCACTCCCAGCACACGAACTTCCACAGCATTCTCGCCAGAATTAAGTCATAAAATAAAAATCTTAGGTGCTTGAATGTAAACCAGTTCTTTGGATCTAACTTTCAGGCTATAGGAACTAAGGCAAATGACTTAAACAATACAAGAAGGTTATGAGGTAAGTCCAGAATCTGGAATCCAGATTCTTTCAGCCGACAGCGTGGCAAATGGGAAGAAGTTGGGGAACAGAGAGAATGTTCTGGGTAAAAGAAACACAAAAGACTTAAGAGACATTGCAGCAGATTGATTTAATGAGTGGAACCAGTTTGGATCCAATTAGAAAGAGAAAAAAAAAGTAACAGGCATTTTGTCAACAGACCTTTGACCGTGGACTAGGCACTAAATAATAACAGGAAACTGTTATTTTTGTCACATGTGAAAAAGCCCTGCTGTTACGTGAGAACAATGGTCCCTTTCTGATGTCAATAAAAACATACTGCGCTATTCAGTAGTAAAATGGGGTTTGCTTTAAAATAGTAAGTAGTTCAAATCCAAGACAGGAGGGTGGAGGGGAGAACGCTGGTGACAGAGGAGGCTGACTTGAGGATTCCGAGCTAACTGCACCCTCACTTCTCACTATGGAAAGTTCTTTTAAAACAAGCGAGGGGCTCTGCGGAGGGGCCGAGTGTGGCGGGACATGCAGCGAGTGACATGAACACTCAGAGCTGGGAAAAGCTGTCGCATGGGGAGCCCGCTGGGCACACGTGCCACAGACGAGAGGTGCTGAAGCAGATGGCGCCTAGCCAGGCTGGGGTGAGACAGAAGCAACACCAGTGTCGAAGTCTGAGTAAACACACGTGCACTGGAAATGTGGAGATACAGACAGTGAAGCCACAGGGAAGCACGTGTCAAACGGGGCCTGCCTCCACTGCACCCTGCCTAACACCTATGGAGAAGAGGAGGAGGAGACCCAGTGGTTCTCAAAGTGTGGTCCCTGGACCAGAAGCATCAGGAAAAATGGGGAACGCTTTAGAAAAGCAAAATCCCAGCCAGGCCAGACCTGCTGAATCAGAAACCCCGGCTACGCAAACAGGCACCAGGGTAAGGGCCGTGAGCGAAACTGACTGGCCTGTTCCAGGGCTTGGCCCGCTCCCCCCGGGTGCTCCCTGACACAGCGGTCGGGCCTGACCTTTGGAAGGAGGCTCCCATTCCTGCCTTCCCCACAGCAGGCCGCTGAGTCTGGAGCCACCACTTGGCCTCTCTCACAGGCCGCACCTGTACCACCTGGGCGATGGCCGATGCTGCACAGGCTGCCGTAAGACCTGGAGGAGCTCCCTACGCAAAAGGCTAGGAATAATGCCCAGCATTACTATGTGAATGGTTGTCCTGTTCATAGCTCACTTATTTCTACAACGTGCAGCTACGACTCAACAGTCGAGTTGAAGATGGATCCGCTGGCCAGTAAGACCAGGAAACTCACTGAAGCGACAGCCTGACACACCCCTCAGGAAGCAGACAACACTAATGGCCACGTGCTGACTTCGGCCACAACAAATGCAAACCCGGGGCAGCTAGACACCCGAGCAGTGTCACTGCATGTGGTGCCTCTCGGCCTGGTGCCAACAAGCCTCCTGCTTGGACCCTCACCATGGCCAGCCATGGTCACGAGGCTCTAAGGGCTGAAAGAAATCTTGTTAAAAAGAACTGGAGAAATTCTCAGAAAACATTAATTCCGTCTGTGCTCTGCCCGTTCCCCCTCTCCTGTCCCACAGGTAGCAGAGATGGGGCGTGTTGAACCCTCTGAGTCTGTGATCCCCGGTGAAAGGAGAGAGGTGGCCGAGGCCCAGCCCTTGTGGGGCCTACCCTGCAGGGAACCACAGTTCTGGGCAGTTCCAGGCCCCCCTTGGTGTGACTCTCCTGCCTCAATCTACTCACTTTGTTTATAGCAAGGTAGGAGAAACCTTGTCAAAATCATGATCATAAAAGACAAACACAACAGGCCATTTTCATTCAAAGAACTTGTCTACACAATCCTCCTTTTTAAGACCTGTGTTTCATCATCTGCCGCGATTTCACTGTTGGGATCTGCTCGATTGGTTTTGTGCAGAACCCACTCAGGCTCCCTCCCTGGCCGTGCAGCACAACTCCCTCGGGGGGCTGTCGGGGGCCACTGCTGGGCCGGGCTTTCTCACTCACTTCTCGTAGCTGCTTTAAACGAAAACAAACATGCTTACTTCGTGGTCCACGCTCTCGGTAGCCATGCACTGGTTGTTGGCCAGAGTGGAGATCTCTCGGCTCCTCGGTGTTTCCATCCGGCAGCTGCAGAGAGGCACTTCCTGGAGGCCGTCTGTCTCCAGCACATCTGGACCGTTGGCCAACCCTAACGTCACACAGACACATGTCAGCTCATGCAATCCTGACCTCAAAAGAATCACCTAGAAAGTGATCGGTTATGGAGTCTCAACAGTGATCTCACACACCAGGAAATGAAAGCAATGCGGTTAATTACCGAGGCACAAACAGCCCTGCACGGGGCGGGGATGGCCACCACCTGGGCACCATGAAGGAGTGGCCTGTGCCTCCCCAGCTAACAAACCCCCTGCCAGGGTCTCAAGAGGCACCTATTAACCTGTGTTCTCAGGTTCTCAGGACCCAGGACACAAGTTCCAAAGCCAGAGGCTGGTACCTCTGGCAGTAGCTCCTAAATCTTTTGTTTTTCAAACAAAAGAGCATTCACTGCCCTTTAAGACCTTGTTTTCCTACTTGGTTTTAGAATGGCAACCACACACACACACAAAATCAGTTTGGAAGGTTTTAATAACGGTTTGTCTATCATCTAGAATTCCACTCACCTACTACAATAGTCCAAAGAGCCCATTTATTAGCCTGAAAGAGGAAAGCACCAGGGAAAACAAGGGAAGAAACTAGAGGAGAATTAGAGCTCAACATGTGGCTGACAATGACGGCATCGTCCACAGGGAAGGCTGCAGAAGAGCTGTGGTCAGGCAGGCGGCCTTGGGCCCATCCCAACACAGCCAGGGCTGGTGCCACCCACACCCTGCCCCCAGCCCAGGGTGGGAGAGACCAGCACGGCCAAGGCTGTTGAGCGGCAGGGGCAGGGGTGGAGGGCAGCCGCCAGGAAGACCCTCAAGCTTGGCAAGTAGCTACAGTGGGTGCTGCTCCCAAAGAAAGCAAGATTGCGTTTCACATTTTCTTTCTTGTTAAACAGTCAAAGCAGAAATAGAAGGTGAATCAGTGTCTCAAATACTCACTATTGCCTCTCTTAATTAAAAATAATTAACTCTTGGCTGGGTGCAGTGGCTCACACCTGTAATCCCAGCACTTTGGGAGGCCAAGGCAGGCGGATCACGAGGTCAGGAGATGGAGACCCTCCGGACAACATGGTGAAACCCCGTCTCTACTAAAAAAAAAAAAAAAAAAAACTAGCTGGGCGTGGGGCACGTGCCTGTAATCCCTGCTACTTGGGAGGCTGAGGTAGGAGAATCACTTGAACCAGGGAGTCAGAGGTTGCAGTGAGCCGAGATCCTGCCACTGCACTCCAGCCTGGTGACAGAGGGAGGATCTGTCTCAAAAAATAAAAATAAAATTTAAAAAAAACTCTTGTTTTCACATCTAAAAATATAGTGTTAAAGTCAATTAAAATGGAGACCAGGACTAAAGAATCCTTGAACAGACAAAACCAGTTGAGCCAAGGAGGCCATCTTGGCCTTGCTTGATTTGAAAACAAAGGATCTTGTGGGCTACTTCTTGCAAATGCCTACAGTAAAGAAAAAGAAAACTTAAGCTCCACCATCCAGAAGCAGCCAACCAATCTCCAGAACTAGGGACTTTCCAGCAGGGACAGAACAAACGAGGAAACTGTGTCATGAACCAGTTGGGTGTTTTCCTGGCTTTACTTCCATGTTCACCTGAAAAATCCTTCCCCTCGTGTTTCCTCAGTGCAGCTCCCAACCCCCTTGTGTTTCCTCAGTGCAGCTCCCAACGTGCTTCTGGTTTGGAGCTGCCCGGTTCATGAATCGCTGCTCAAGGAAACCCTTTAAGAGCTGCACTGCGCCTTAGTGCATCTTTTGACAACACCCACGCTGAGTCACCCACAGTCGCTTCTGTTTGTCTCCAGCCCATTTGGAATCTGATACTGGTCATGGCCAGGAGAGAATCCAAATCTCTGCAAAGAGCCAATAAGCATGTGAACAGCCCATGCTGCCATCAAGGACTCTCTGTGCAGGAGGCACCGACTCCGGCACAGAGGTGCTTCCTAATCATGTGCTGCCCGAGATCCCAGCCTCGCCTCCGGATCACCCGTACCCCTACAGACCGGGAAAACGATGAGGTGAAACTTGAAATAGAATCACTACAAGTTTAAAGCTGGGCGGGCCTCTGAGATGATCCTGCTTAGCAACTAGGTTTTTAAAAGGAGAAAACGGACACAAACCTCACAAAGCTCTGAGATAACTGTCCTACCACAGTGCTGGCCGACAGCTGCCTAGAGGCTGCAGTGAGACAGGTGAGAACCCAGGGCCCACATGCTTGGATAACGATGCTGTGGCCCAGACAACTCCATGCAGGTGGAGTGTTTCGGTCCCTCAAGCAATCAACCTCCACCAAGCTCTGGCTCTCCTGCCCGAGGCCATGTTGCCATGGTTACCGGCTCCTGGCCTCTCCCAGGCTCAGACCCTCTGCCTCCTGTCGCTGCTGGGTGACATAGCCATTCAGCCTCAACAAGGCAGGCCCAAGAGCAAGGCAACAGGGAGAGAGACAAATGCATATGGAGAGGACTTCTGCTCTTCACATTCTCCTTGGCCCAAGGCTCAAGCCTAGACCCCCTGAACCACAACCAGAGGCATCAACTGCCCCCACTTACCCGCTCAGCACACTCCACAGGCCGATCGCGCCTATCCCATCTGAGACGCACACCACCCAGGTCTCCCAGAGCCCCAGATCCTGTCCAGCACCCCTTGATCACCGCCTCCCTCTGGGGTCCCGGGCCACACGGCCAGCATCAGCACAGTGGGCACCACTGCCTGTCTCTTCTACGCACTGATAGTCTACATCGAAAGCACGACTGAACAGGCCAATCGCTGACTAACCAATCGGTGCTGATAAAACAGGCAAATCAATTTTGGGAGGTCAGTTTATAAAACGTCACACAAGCCGAGGAGCCCCTACTTGTTGCCGTTTCTCCTCTGGCTCCGCGTTGGCTCTCGCCCTTCTGGACCTGATGCTCGGCACCATCCTTCCTTTATAGCTATCTTCCCGCGACCTTACCGGAGACAGCAGGTGTACACTGACAGCTGGAAGAGCCCTCATGTACCAGCTCCCTGTCTCCTGCCACTCAGCAGGCCCAAGGCCACCATAGCAGGAGGCGATTTGATAAAATAAAATACTATTTACTACTTAAAACCAAGTAACTTCCTGAGACCCCCGAATCTAAAAGCAAGTTTAGAGCTGGGACACTCAGCGTCACACTGTCGAGAAAGCAAGCGTGGGACGACCATGCGAAGGACTTGGTGATACTTGAGGGGGGTTTCTGCTCCATTTGGCACAAAGAAGAGGAAAAAATACCATTGTTTCCATGACGGACAAGCCTAAGATTTCTACCTTAAGCTAAAGATGGGATTTTCTAGGTGAGTTACATAGGTGACTCAAACCACCCTCAGTGTTCAAAACCCTAAAAAGCTAGTTATCTGTCATTTTTAAATGGCCCATTAAACCCCTCACAGTAGTCTGCAATGCCACACCAGCAAGATCTGTGTGGAATGTAAATAATATAAGATTTCCATTTCCTCCACATCATGCTTCAAATAAATCTTCCCAGATAATCAAATAGCTATTAGCTACTTTTCACTCATATAAGGTTTCTAAGTGGCTTAAAAAGAGAAAACAACTGATAGAAAGTGTGAGAACTGACAACTTCTGGCACAACAACTCCTAACAGAAGCCGTTGATTCACCTGTGATTTCGAGGTACAAAAATACGCTAAATACAAATATTCTATGACAGAATATGTGTCAGAGCTCTCAGCTCAACACTGACCAAGGACATATTTCAGCCAATCAGAGACACCTTATTCAACAGTACATCCTTGTGTGTCCTGAGAGGCCACCGGGGAGGAAAGGTGTCTGGCCATGGGCAATCCTCCACGGAGCACGCCTGACCTGTGGAGGGAGACGACCACCACGCTGGGCCTTGCTTGGGCTTTGCCAGTTTACTCTTAGAGGGTTTCCGTAATTTCTGGTTTTTCACTTGCACACTGGGACACAGCAGACGCACCCCGTCCTGTCTACACCTCAACTGGAAGTGATGCCGTTAACCCGATCTTCTACTAGTGTCCACCAGGGGGCATCGTGCTAATACAGAGGAAGGAGCCCCGAAGATAAAGGACCAAGATGGTGCCCGGTCTCAGTTACACCACCACATTCACCTTCTGCTTGTGAAGACAGAATTCCTTTGACGCGGAGATCCAGGGAGTCCAGAGAAACTTCCATGTACCCTGTGCTGTCTCCTGGTGCTGTCTGCTCACCGCTTCCTGAAGATGACTTATACGACTCAGAACCTAGGTATGAAAAGCACACACATCAGACACCATGCACCCAGGCGGCCGCACCCACCCACGCACAGGGCAGCAAGGCTGGGGCCCCAGGAAATGGACTACTTCTAATTAATCCATTCAAAACCACAAGCTGAAACCCACTATTGTTTAGGCCATTCCAGTTTCACTATCATTTTCTCTCTTGCATATTATTGTGTTGATTCCCCCTTTTAGACATAATATTCATGGGGGAGGAGAGAAGCTGTATAGACAAAAACAAAGGCACCAACATGTCGGTACATCTTTCTCTGTAACTATCCCAACTACATAAAAGCTATCGAATGATCAAAGAAACAGATAAAACATGGCAGTCACATGTTGTGGATTATTTTTACATAAAACAGAAACACCTAACTTGCAGATTTGAAAGATCAGAGGTAAAGTAGCTAAAGAGATGGCCCAAGGTGCCATGTTGCAGGCAAATCTGTGTCCAAGAGAAAGCACTGCCCACCCAGGTGTCCTGGCTGACGTCCAGGGAGGCCCCCGGAAAGGATCAGTGTCGACCCCAGTAGACACGGGAGGCTCATGACACCCACAGAAGGTGCCAGGGAGCAGGGTACTGTGAGAGGGACCAGTGCCCCTAGGCTGGCAGCGAGGGCAGTGGGGAGTGCAAACACTTCCGTGGGCTCCCCTGCCCTCAAGGACACACGAGTGGTGGCCAGGCCAGTCTGTCCACACTTTCCAAGAGGGCCGGAGAAAGATACACAAAATTGGGTGTTTGCAATCACAAGGGCATTTCACTGAGGAGGCCTGTGAAAGTGTATACCTATACCAGGTAATATCCAACTCCGACCAAGGGCAGATGGTCACATTTCGCGGCCAAGCTCCTAGGGAATAGTCACCAATCTTATTTCATTGACTGGAAATAAATGAACACTAGTACAGAGAGGTATGGTAACCAGTCTTTTTTTTTTTTTTTTTTTGAGACAGAGTCTCGCTCTGTTGCCCAGGCTGGAGTGCAGTGGCCGGATCTCAGCTCACTGCAAGCTCCGCCTCCCAGGTTTACGCCATTCTTCTGCCTCAGCCTCCCGAGTAGCTGGGACTACAGGTGCCCGCCACCTCGCCCGGCTAGTTTTTTGTAATTTTTAGTAGAGACGGGGTTTCACCGGGTTAGCCAGGATGGTCTCAATCTCCTGACCTCGTGATCCGCCCGTCTCGGCCTCCCAAAGTGCTGGGATTACAGGCTTGAGCCACCGCGCCCGGCCGGTAACCAGTCTTTTCATTCAAGCCACATGCTCCACCTAGATCTTAGACAGACAGGAAAAGTCAACCACCTTTGAGAAATCACCATCATCAACTTGAAGAACAGGAGGACACTTTGTATGGTTTTAAACGAAAAGAAAATTTTTTAAAAACTCATAAAGAAATAAAATTCAAACTCCTCTGTGAATATTTAAAAGCACACACTTTGCACATTACAGCCAAGATGACAAAGATGAAATCTCTAACCCAAAACAACTTTCAGCCTTGGCTCTAAAATGCTTTTGTTGGCCAACAGTAAAAGCCACATCTGGTGTTATGATCTGAATCAATAAACTGAGGTGAAGAGAAACGTAACTGAAGGACCACACGCAGCTCCCGGGGGGCTCACACGTCCTCCACCCTCAAACGCCAGGAGCCTCCACGGTGACTGCCTCATGCCCCAGGCCTCCCACAACCTTCTCCGTTTCAGGGGACGACTGCCTCCCCAACATCCAGTTAACAGACCTATTCTACGCTGGGGAATCCAGATTAGCCAAAATCACTGTGAAGAACAACAAAGTGCTGCCACTCGGTGACACTGGTATAAGGATCAACAAATAAACAAATGAAACAGACTGGAACGTCCAGGAACAGCCCACACACTGAATGTCAACAGCGGGAGAAAAGTCAACTCGAGCAGCAGTGCCTATGGCAACCGCACATCCACTGCCAAGAAGGGGCCTGCACCACAGCTCACTCAAACATTAGTGCAAAATGAACTTGTCAGATGCCGAGAAGAAAACATGGGACAAAACCTCTGTGACCTGGGTCTGTCAAAGATTTCTTAGAGCACAAAAGTATGAATCACAATGTAAAATAACTCATAACTTGGACTTCAAGAAAATCTTAACAACTTTTGCTCTTCTAAATATAGCATTAAGAAAATGAAAAGGCAGGTCACAGACTAGGTACAAATACACACAAAGCATCCACCTGATAGAAGACTTGTGTCCAGAATATTTAAAAAGCTCTTTTAACCCAATGAGAAGAAAAACAACCAGATTTTAAAAGTGAGCAAAAGATGTGAACAGACACGTTTCGAACAAAATAAATGAAGGCTAAAATGTACAATCTCATTACTCATTAGATAACAGCATTGAAACTACAGTAAAACACCAATGCACACCTATAGATCCACTGAAATTAAAAAGACTAACCCTAACAAGTGCTGGTGCAGACAGAGGGGAACTGGAATGCTTGTGTGTTATGGGGACCTAAAACAGGACGAGTGCTTGGAAAACAGCCTGGCAGCTTCCTGAAGAGCTGAACACACACCACTCTACTCAGCCATTCCACTCCCAGGTATCTAACCAAGATCTAGGAAAGCACCTGTTCAAAAAGACTTGCACACAAATGTTCACAGCTGCTCAATTTCTAGCAGCTCAAGGCTGGAAAGAGCCCAAAGCCCATGGACAGATGAATGGACAGATAGACTGTGGGGCAGCCACACAATGGGACACTTCTCAGCAATGGACAGGAACAAACTCCTGGCCATTCGACAGCCCGGCAACTCAAAACAATTATACTCAGAGAAGCCAGATGAAAAACAGCTGCACAGCACCATCTACATAAAATTCTACAAGACACTAACCAATAAGCAGAAGCAGAGCAGACCAGGGGCTGCCTGGGGGCAGGGAAGGGGCCAGGTTTTCAAGGGGCAGGAGGGACCCGGGGTGACAGAGGCGCTCATGGCACTGATCGTCTAACTGTGGTGACGGATTCAAGGTCATAAACGCATTAAAACTTGTCAGATTATGTAATTTACTTCTGTACATTTTATTGTATGCCAAGTGTACCTCGGTTAAGCTGAAAACAAAAACGGCCCTTGGCACCCTAAGCCTCCTGCATCCCTCTGGGTTTGAGGGGATTTCCTTCCCACATTCACGCTGTGATTCACAAAGTCCCTCTGGAACAGGAGACTGACGGAGGCACAGGTGCCTCACCAAGGGGCCGCTTCCTGCACACAGCGTGGGAGCTAACCGTGCAGACCACAGGCTCTAGTCACCCATGCAGGCAGCAAAGGATTCACCTCTGTTCAACATTCAACAGTGAAGTCAGGGTCGGGCGTGATGGCTCACGCCTGTAATCCCAGCACTTCGGGAGGCCAAAACGGGCAGATCGCTTGAGCTCAGGAGTTCGAGACCAGCCTGGCCAACATAGCAAAACCCCATCTCTACCAAAAAAACACAAAAAAATAAGCTAGGCATGAAGGCACATGCCTATAGTCCCGGCTTCCTGGGGAGATGAGGTAGGAGGATTGCCTGAGCCCAGAAGATGGAAGCTATAGTGAGCTGAGATCAAGCCACTGCACTCCAGCCTGGGTAACAAAACCAGATCCTGTCTCAAAAAAAAAAAAAAAAAAAAAAAAAAAAAAAATTTAAAAACAACAGTGGGTCGGGCGCGGTGGTTGACGCCTGTAATCCCAGCACTTTAGGAGGCCGAGGTGGGCGGATCACGAGGTCAGGAGATCGAGACCATCCTGGCTAACACAGTGAAACCCCATCTCTACCAAAAATACAAAAAGTTAGCCAGGCATGGTGGCAGGCACCTGTAGTCCCAGCTACTCGGGAGCCTGAGGCAGGAGAATGGTGTGAACACGGGAGGCAGAGCTTGCAGTGAGCCGAAATCAGGCCATTGCACTCCAGGCTGGGCGACAGAGCGAGACTCTGTCTCAAAAAAAAAAAAAAAAAAAAAAACCAGTGAAGTCAATATCCACTACACTGGCCAGAAGGAAACTACTTTAGAGTTCCTCTTGAGTTTAAAAGTTTTTCTTAAAGTTTCTCTTGAAACTTTAGAGTTTCACTTGAGCTTCTCTAACAAAGTCATTGCGAACATTTTTTTAAAAAACAGTGAAGCCTTCTCTTCTAATGAAATCCTATGCACCCCAACCCCAGGTGGGCCTCCTGGCCTCATCCCCCTCCCAGGCAGTCCCCAAGATGGCCCACACCCCTACGGCATTTACCGAGGGCACCGCTGGGCTTCTTTCTACTTCTCCGCCTCCTTTTCCTGGCTGGCTTGATCCAGGGACTGTCGGTCTTTCCTTTCCTCTTGAGAAATTTCTTCTTGAGGCTGGATTCCGAACTCTGGAGAACCAAAGGGGCAGGCATATAAACCACTGAGCATAGGCAGCTACGGAAGGCAAGAGCACTACAAGTGTTTTCTTGCAAAACAGAACACTGGCTATGTCTTGATCTTCAATTAAATAGTGAACTTAACTTGTAGACATTTTCCTGGGTCACACGCTGAAAGGCACTCTGTGCTTTTTCCTAACTATCTCTCTAAGCTCAGTCCCTTTAGAAGCAAAACAAAAACAAAAATAAAAAGTGAAATTTATAAGTCTTATTTGAGTTTGGCACAAAAGAAAAGAATAAGTAAATTGGAAAGTTCTACTCAGGAACTAAATAAATAAGCTCAGGAAAAGGATCCATGGCTGCTCATCAGGGTCCATTCATCTCACTCACAGGAAAAGAACAATCAAGGCTCAGTTCGCTTCAGAATCTATACCCACATCAATCACCTACACAGAGAACAAGGACAGAGGCTGTAATTAACTTGTAATATTTCAAGATGTGTTTTAAGCATCTGCTTCTAAAATCCGGATGCAGCAAGGGCATCCGTGGCACAGGCCACACAGGGGTGCACAGCAGGCGCCCCCGCCCCTCCACAGGAGGACACGTGAAGGCCACAGTGGGCAGAGGGACATTTAAGGTAGGCACTGCGGCAGCACGCGGGCCTCGCCGACCAACTGAACGTGCCGCTGCACAAGGCCTGTTGCTGGGCAGCCTTCTGTCCTGAGTCGGGTCCCACGTGAGGACGGACCGGGAGCCCTGTCTACAGCACACACAGCCCAGCTCCCCGGTGCTCCCCGCACAGCAAAACTTTTGGGAAGAAGTTGTGCAAGCGCCGCACCCAAAGTTGCTGCTGCTAGAAATCTAGTTGCCCCTCTGCCACCCAAAGACAGACCCCTTCATCACCAAACACCACGGCCCCCGTGTCCTCCTCCCACTCGCTGGTGTGATGAGCCCACACCGTGGGCCACTTCTCCTGTTGCAGAGCATTTCCCCATTCATATGACCCAAATTTGCTGAGTTTTCTCCCCATGGCACAGAGAGCCCCTCCTCAGACGCAGGAGCCAACTTCTCCTCCCCTATGGAGCCCTCACAGGCTGGGGGCTCCCTGAGGCTCCATCCTGGGGACTCGCTGCTCTTCCCCATTTCCAACCCCCAATTCCCGCAGACCAGGGTGCACAACTCCGACCTGAACCCTCCTCCACGAATAACAGGCTTCAGTAGGGATGGAGCAGAACCCCTCTTCCCTCCTGTCCTCACCACCAGAAAGTTCTGTCCATTCTACCTGGAAACACCTCAAATCCAGCCCTTCCTTCTCGCACATCAGCCAATGCAGCGGAATCCCCAACAGCTGTCCTTGCTGCTGCTCCCACCACACCCTCTCCCTCTGAGAGCCTCCAAAGGCCCCTCAGCTCCCCCCGACCCCGCACGCAGCCGGCGCAGCCCTGTGCCAGGCCCAGTCCTGTGCTGCAGCTCTGCACGGTGTCTTTCTCATGAGGCTTTGCCAGGGACAGGACCCATCTGTGGCCATCGTCATGACCAGCTCCAAGCACATGTGTGAGTGCTCAGGCAACAAAGGTTGGGTAATGGACTGAAGGACGCTGGTGTCTCTGCATCTCCTCTACTTCAGCACAGACGCAGAAGGAGGCGCTGGGGATTACCAGGTCAGACTCGTCACCGCCTTCCTCCTCCTCCCCGGTGTCCACGGACTCCTGCTCCTCCTCAGACTCCCCGTCCATCTGATCAGCCACACAGTCGAAGCGGGAACCCAAACAGAAAACAGAAACCAATTACATCCTTTAGTGGCAGATGACGGATCCAAAACAAACCTCGAAACGTGCCCTGGCCGTACACACCGGAGATGCTCGCAGGGTGGGGGCACCGCCAGCCTGCTCCAGCCCTGGCTGGTGTGTGGGGTGACCAAGTGCTGGTCCAGGCAGGCCCAGAGGCACACTCTGAGCTTCCACTCTGCTCCCCGGTCCTGTCTCCACATCAGGACCAGAGAGTGGCCGCCCTGGTGCGGATGCAGGCAAGGCTCACCCACTGGGTGCTGTATTAGTGAGGGCTCAAGTACTCCATGGATCTTACGAATGGGAGAATTCAATAAACAGGTCACAAAACACACAGAACAATCATAAAACGATGTTCAGAGGCCACAAAACAAGACACAGTGTGAGACCTACCCCCACACACCCATGATCCCAGTCCCATCCTCAGAGCCACCACAGCTAAGCTGCCCACGCCTCCTTCCAGTGAACGTCCAGGCAGACGCGGGCCCACAGACGACAGTGCATTTCTAGTCTGCTCAGATGGAAGGACACTCGCCAGTTCTGTGAATATTGTTTTCTTCTAATTAAAAATATGTTCTGGAATTCTTTCCACACCAGAACAGACACACCCTATTTTTTCTATGGTATTTATCTTTTCTATAAGCACAGGCAATACACAAATAGACGTTCAGTGCAAAAGACACTGAAACATCCGTGAGTCTCCGTCTGCCCTGTGCCTGGTGCTCCCTGAGGCGGCGTGGGCTGCTCTGGCTGTGCTATTCCGCTATTCTCTGCATTTCCCAGTGGACAGGCACCCATGCGACTTCAAGGGTGTGTTCTATGGGCTCGACGGCTCACGCTTGTAACCCCAACACTCTGGGAGGCCGAGGTGAGTGGACTGCTTGAGGCCAGAAGTTCAAGATCAGCCCAGGCAACACAGCGAGACCCCTGTTTTTCCTATAAAGTTTTTAAAGCTCCGTTTCTGATATCTCTTATTCCATAACACTTTTGAATTTTATCTGAACAACTCAAAGGTGTCCATCTTTTCCTTCATGGCTTCTGGGTTTCTGTCTTACACTAGAAGAACTTCCTCATTTGAGACTGGAAAAAACATTTCCCAATATTTTTACCAATAGTTCAATATCTTGTGTTGACACTTTAAGTCTTCTGGAATTTGTTTTTTAAAATAAAAGCCACAGTAAGATATATTTCACCTACCCTAAGACTGACCCTGCAAAGTGTACAGTTCAGTGGTTTTTACTATGTTCTGAGCCGTGCAGCCGGCACCACGGTCTGACTCCAGAATGGAGCCCACAGTTGTTACCTACCCTGACACAAGTGAGGGCTGCCTGCTCCCAAAATATTAGTCAACGGCCCAATCATAGTTATTAAAAAGTTCATGACCCCTTGTCCACTGACTTAAAACCCCAGTCTTACCATCGACCTTTATACACATGTCACAGGCTCCCCGTCCCCTCACTAACCGCCTCAGCACTCCTCAGTAAGCATTCCCTCCGGCAGCCACGTCCCGTGCTCGGGTGTCCCCCACCGTGCACAGTCCCCCCACTACTCTAGAGGGTCTCCGCCTCCACCCTCACTTCAGAACCAGCAGTTCACACAAAAGTCCGGCTAGGGTCTCGATGGGAGCTGTTCTGAATTTAGAGGCAAACATGGAGAAAATAAAACAGTGGATCTTCTCACTCAGACAAACAAACGACGAGTCTCTCCAGGAACTTAATTTTTAACCTCTTCCATCAGTTTCCTAGTTTTCCTCCACATTAACAAGGAGCACTCGGTTCTTAAGTTTATTTCTGGGTACTCTGGTGATATTAAGAAATTATAACTAACTTTTTAGGTCTGATATTATGGTTTGTCTTTCACAGAGTCCTTATCTTTTAAAGATCCTACTGAAATATCCACTCCAAGACAGCCCACATGTGGAGAACGAGGCCAAATGCTGGAGGCTCCTCACCGTCCTCCGTGTTTGCGGAGCTTGAATTTTTCTACATAGAAAATCTTTTAAAATATCCCTAGACAATTATTGATTTTACTGATAATGCTGACACCACATTTTCTAATTGGTTATTGCAGCTATACAAGAAAATAACTGGTTTTTATGTCTTGATCACATGTAAGGTCAGCTTAGTAGCTGTAACAGTTTTTGAGCTGATTTTGCTGGATGTTTCAGGTGGATGAGTATATTTCCCAGCAAACTCTTCTCTCCTGTCTTTTAAAATATTAATGTTTTGGCCAGGCGCAGTGGCTCACGCCTGTAATCCCAGCACTTTGGGAGGCCGAGGCGGGCGGATCACAAGGTCAGGAGATCGAGACCATCCTGGCTAACACGGTGAAACCCTGTCTCTACTAAATATACAAAAAAAAAAAATTAGCTGGGCGTGGTGGTGGGCGCCTGTAGTCCCAGCTGCTCAGGAGGCTGAGGCAGGAGAATGGCGTGAACCCAGGAGGCGGAGCTTGCAGTGAGCCCAGATCACGCCACCGCACTCCAGCCTGGGCGACAGAGCAAGACTCTGTCTCAAAAAATAAATAAATAAAATAAATAAAATATTAATGTTTCTTTCTGGTTCTTCCCTTACAGAATCAGCAGGAACGGTCAATGCTGCTGTATTCATGTCATAGGTGAAAGCAGCAGCCCCTCCTCCCTGGTTTCATGACTGACCATCGAAATGTTCAAACCCTTTTGTAAGCATTCCGACGCCTTCACTCAGGTTTCACAGGAGTTTTCATTTCATTGGATAGTTTTCTTATTTTAAAAATAAGACAGGGCAATGAAACCACCAATTAAAAGCGGACTAACAACACAGTTAACTCCACTTCCTTCCAAAACTCTGGCAAAGCGACTTTTAAGGAAGGAACAAGAGCTTCTTTATGAGAGGCTGCTTGATCGCTGTGCATACGACAGCTGTAAGGAATCAGGCGGAAGCTGAAAACCCAAGGAGAAAGGGAAGGGGTAACCGCTGACATCAGAATTTAAAAGCGGCTGGACGCCATGGCTCACACAGAGAATCCGGCACTTTGGGAAGCCACGGCAGGTTATCACGTGAGCCCAGAAGTTCAAGATTAACCTGGGCAACACAGCAAGAGGCTGTCGATTGAGAGGACCTCGTCTCTACAAAAAAATTAATTTAAAAAAATATTAGCTGGGCATGGTGGCGCACGCCTGTGGTCCCAGCAACCTTGGAGGCTGAGGTGGGAGGATCATTTGAGCCCAGGAGGTGAAGACTACAA